TTTTCCCCCTTCCTTTATTGAAGGACGTGGAAGATACGGGGTAGCAACAAGCTATTGTTCGTCAGGGAATCCTCGAGTCGTCGTGGCCGAGTTTCGATATTGCTGATCCGTACGTCCCGTCGGTCAACGTCTCGTCGGCCTACATTACGAGGATTCTCGACTACGCGCGTAGCTTGACGTATCGCTGATTTGACGAATTTCGCTCGGTCTTCGTGTTGCGTAGTAATATAGTAAAAATGTGCAAGGAAAAGAGGTAATATTCCTAACGGGATATAACACAGGAAGCGATGCCGGCAAACGACGTCACTGCAGGCTGCCCTGCAAGTTTCGCTGCTGGATTTCGTGATTGCTCCCGTGCTATTTTTCCTGCAAGTTTTCTAGCTGGCTCGCATGTATAGCGAATCGCAACACAGCGGGCTGTCACGTGATGTGGTCTCGTGGTCTCTCATACTCGTGCGCTGCATTACAAGATCATGTAGTCTCTTTTGTTGCTAGGTAGGTTAACTTTGGTTAAACTTTACTTTCCTGGACCAAAAATTATGGACTTTTGTTATACCTCCTGGTAATATTCAACGAGTAGAATCTGAAAATGCAAGTGGTAAGTTTAGGAATTCAGCGGTTCAAAAGTTATGCATATGTAAACCCAAGCATTTTTAACGTACTATACAGGTTAGTTTAACGCCCTTAACTTTCTCGAGATCGAATTAATTTTTTAATTAAAAAATTAATTCCACCACATATGATACTTATTTTTTCCATTTTCCGTATTTAAAAAATAAATATATGGGATATATATGTCCTGTTAGCCTTTTGTGAGCTATAAATCCGAGAACAATGACGAATTTTAACTCCACAATTAATAAGGCAACAAAAAAGACTACATGATTTTGTAATGCAACACACGAGTATGAGAGACGATGAGACCACATCACGTGGCAGCCCGCTGTGTTCTGATTGGCTATTCATGCGAGCCAGCTAGAAAACTTGAAGGAAAAATAGCACGGGAGCAATCACGAAATCCAGCAGCGAAACTTGCAGAGCAGCCTGCAGTGACGTCGTTTGCCGGCATCGCTCCCTGCACGGCTGCATACACAGCTCCAAGCAAACGATCCAGCAAGAAAACAAGCACCGTGTGCTGCGGGCTTTAAAGAGGCGCTAAGCAAAAGGTGCGCAATTCGAAGTATGCCCTCAAGATGTAAGCCACGTGTGGCAACGTGTTTTTGGTCTCAATTTTTTATTATTCTTTTGTATTGTATAGTCTTAGTTTAAATTTAATAAATAAGTTTATTTCTTTTGCAAACTAAAAAAGGACTAAGGAACATTAAATTAAATCAACCCTTCCTCAAATTCTAACATGGTAGCAGCGGTCCGTGGTTGTTAGTTAAAAAAAAGAAAGGAAGGCGTTGAATGAAAAAGAAAGGAAAAATGGCGGACAATAGAAAAGAAGAATTTGCGTTGCAAGTATTTAACGGCTTACAGTATGATAAGTGAAAGTTCAGACTAAAACTATTTCTTGAAATGAAAGAATGCTTTGAAGTTATTCAACACGAGAACAGGCCCAATGAAATTAAAGAGGCAGATTGGGATAAGAAAGAAATAAGGGCGAAAAACTACATCGTCAACAGTGTAACTGATACACAGCTAGAAATGATTATAAAAGAAACAACAGCAAGAAAAATGATCAGAAAGCTGGATGAAATATACTTAGTAAAAAGCAGCGCAATCAAACTTTTGTGCAAAAGAAAACTGCTGGACTTAAAAATGAAAGAAAGTGAAAATTCAACTGAATTCTTAAATGAATTTGAGAAGCTAATAAATGAACTAGGTAATGCAGGAGAAATCGTAAGTAAGGATGATAAGGTAAATTATTTACTATTGGCCCTACCTGTGAGTCTTTCACATATAGTCGACGTAGTAGATGCATTACCAGACAAAGAAAAATCAATTGAATATGTTAAGTCAAAGCTAATGTTAGAGTATCAAAAACGACAGAGTAATGGGAAGAATGATTTTCAAGCTTTTAATTCCAATATGTCAAAACATAACAAAAATTATAATTCCCAATACAAAAAATTTAGCACTAAAAGGTTCAATAATGAGCAACCAAGCAACTCGAGATTTTTAGAAAATAGAAACAAGACTTATAATCAAATGAGAAATGTTCAACGTTTCTGTAAAAGTAATACAAATTGGCAAGACAGACCTTCAGGACATTATGATTCAAGAGAAACGGCTGGAGCCTCTGAGGTGAAAAATAAAGATAAGAAAAACTCGTTCGAAGTAGAAGTTATGAAAGCAAGAGTTGATACACAAATAAGGGCAAACATGAAAATGGAAGAAAATATTGAATGGCTGTTGGATAGTGGATGCTCAGACCACATGGTAAATACAGATAAGTATTTTTCTAAATGTAAGACATTAGAAAATCCTGTAAATATTAAAGTAGGTGATGGTTTCTCATTAACATCAGACAATATTGGAAATATTGATGTATATTTCAATGTTTATGGAAATTGGATAAAAACTGAAATCAAGAATGTTTATTGCGTACCAAAAATGAAACAAAACTTATTAAGTGTTCCCCGTATATTAGATCATAATAACTATGCTACTTTTAAGAATAAAACTGCTAGGATTTATAATAGTGAAAATAAATTGATTGCAGTTGCAATACGAAAGACAAAATTATTTGAATTAGTTGGAAAAGTAGTAAATAATAAAACTGCTGAAAATATATCTTACACTAGCTTAATGGAAATATCGAAGAAGGAAAAATGGCACAGAATACTGGCCCATGTAAATTTTAGAGATCTAAAACATTTATGCGATCTACAGTTGCTGAGGGATTGCCAAAAAAGATTGAAGATGAATTTTTAAAATGCGAAGTCTGCTTGGAAAATAAAATGACAAATATGAAATTTAAAAATAATGGAAGAAGAGCAAATGATATTTTAGAAATAATACACACCGATGTAAATGGTCCTTTCACTCAAACTGACTATAGAGGTGAAAAATATTTTGTATCATTTATCGATGACTTTAATAAAATTGCTGTAGTTTATTGCATAAACAATAAAAATGAAGTCTATGATAAACTCCTCGACTATATAAATATGATGAGGAACCAAACGGGAAAGAGATTAAAGGAAATCCATTGCGACAATGGGAAAGAATATTTAAATAAAAATCTTTTTTCTCTTCTAAGAGAGGAAGGAATACTCTTAAGACCGTGTCCACCTTACACACATGAATTGAACGGTGTTGCAGAAAGATACAACAGAACGATCATGGATCCTGCAAGATGCTTGCTAGCAGAAGCCAAGATTGAAAATTGACAAAACTCCGTATGAAATTTTATTTAATAAGAAACCTGATGTAACAAACCTACGTATGTATGGAAGTAAAGTTTTCTTGGTAAATTTAATAAATAAGTTTATTTCTTTTGCAAACTAAAAAAGGACTAAGAAACATTAAATTAAATCAACCCTTCCTCAAATTCTAACAGCCTTAAAATAATTAGCTTTGATTTGCGGTATTTTTGTTTGCTGCCAACTTTTCTTCAATTTTCCTAATAACCAATTATGTACAAGTTCGGAGCAAGTTTCAAACAATAAAGTACAAATGTTAATGCCTAAAAAACTGTGGGAACGGGAGAGAAACTGACACCACGTTCGTTTTCGGACGTTCTTTATTCAGCGGCTCTCGTGGACCGCTGCTGTTGCTGGTGCAACACTCGAGATCGGACTGCCCTTTGTGTGCCCTCGCAACGGATCTTGAAGAGGGCCGTAGTCTGACGCATTCAACGAGAACGTTCTCGATTATTGGAAAATGTATACAGACGACGGTTCTCGTCGACCCGAGAACTTTCGCCCGAGTGGTCATAACGCACCTTATCCCGACGGACGGATTGACACGTCCGCCGGTACGTCGTCCCAGCAACACTTCCTATGAGACGGCGTGCTCGTGCTCGTGCCGCTAGAAAACCATAGCCATCTATTTTCGTATTTGACTACAGTTTTGTAGGTAACACCTAACCATAAAAATAGTAAAGCAAATTGGCACAAAGTCTTGCAACAAGATCTATGTCAAATTGAAGGCAAAACCGATACAAGGTGTACGCAGTCTCAACCATTTAAATTACCGAAAAATATATGGCGCCGAATATTAGTGTTTCTTAACAATCTATATCTTCAAAAATTGCTCCCAACTTGCGCCCTCGGAATCTAAAATTGCTCCCATCGCCACGTTTACATTTAACTAGCTGACGTACCCGTTCTTGCGCGGGCAATTTAGTTTGGGAATTAAATTTTAATTATGTTCGGGAATGAGGCACGTACCGAATTCGGTAGCCTTCAAGACGCTCAATAACACCAATCGAACGCTTCGATGTTATTTGCGTAATAATCGCGAATACCGCGTGCGCGTAGTCCGCATATTAGGTCTTGCGCGCAATCCCTCTTCCTGAGCGACTCAGATCGTCAACGCGCTTACCGGTGATCTCTGGAATCTTCTAGCTGTATCGATAAAACGACCACCACGTGCAGACCTTTTTCCCGATAACCAATTCTTATCGTTCACGTGGACCGTAGCTCTTAAGCTATTTCCATTTAAATAATTCAACCGTGTAATATCAAGTATATATAGTTATTTTTATTATTCTAAAGTAAGTGCACATTATTGTTCCGTGTTCGATTAGCTTGGACATAAAGTAAACCACGTGTACATCCATTAAAACCATTACATAATCAGTTCATTTCAACCGCCTCGATCGCAAATCTCCCATACGCGACAACGCCAGGTCCGCAGAAGTTGTTACATAGAGATAGGTTACAATATTATGGAGAAATAAACAGCATAAGATTTTAGATTATGGGGTATAACCTGTTATAACAGATAATTATAAATTATAAAACTATATAGTAAATTTACTTTTCTAATTATAACAGACGTGTACAGACAGTTAGCGCGACCCAAAACCAACTACATAGAAGGGGGTGGGTTCTGGCTTTAATTTTTTGATTTTTTGATTTTATAATTTTTTATCGTTACCTTTTTTTTAGGACAACGCTTCTCTATACACGACATTAGGTGTTCTGGCATAAGGCGAAGGCACATACAGGTTCAGATTAGAACTAACTCGGGAGCACGCTACGTATAGCTGCCCGTGTGAGAAACAATTTTTGCGTAATTCAATGCCAGCGACCTTCAATGTTTGCCCTTGTGGCTTATTAATTCTCATTCTAGAGCATATTTTGATAGGAAACTGAAGACGTTTGAATTGAAATGACAAATCTGAGGGAATCATGGGAATTCAAGGAATTATAACTATCTCTCCTGTAACACATCCTGTAAGAATAGTTGCCTCTATTATATAACTTTTTAGCGATTAACCTGCAAACGCGTTCTATTGCATAATTTAATAGGGTTAGGTTTCTAAGTAGAATTATGGGTGCACCAATTTTCAATTTTAATTCATGGTTAAGAATACCTGACGGGTTTAAGGAATTTAAAAATTCTACGGGATAGTGGACAGCGTCGTCTTGATCTATAACTGTATCTACAGACTTATAAACACACGCTGTCGTTTCGAATTTTCCTAAAACAAAATCATTTATTTTAGTAAACATATCGTTTTTCGGAGCTAAAATGGCTCGTTCCCGAAACCAAGGAAGTAGTGTTGTTAAAATGAGCCTCGAGTCTTGTGCTTTAACAGCTCGAGTCGCGGTTCAAACCCTAAAGGCTCGAACCCTCAAGGTTCGAAGCTTGAGTCGTGAAAGCTCGAGTCTTTAACGCTCGAGACTTTAATCTTGAAGGCTCGAGTCGTATAAATTGTATGTAGTGAAGTAATGTACAGACCTTGGGTTTTCGAAGCCTTAAAACTTAACCTAAAAGTTTTCAGTTTTTAACTCTAATATTACACGAATCTCAAGCTTTTAAAGCTTCAAGGGGGAATAATCCAAAAACGTCCAGAAAAGCGTGGTTTTTGTAAATTAGTTCTGCAACACCCAAACCTCATTAAACTATTACTAATAGGATGATCAAATATATATTTTGGACAATACGTTAAATTTTCTTTTATTACAAAATATCTATGTATACTTGAGCTAGATACACGAGTCATAGGATGTTACGCGTCGAACAAAATAGTTTCTCAATTTGTTCACGGTTCATTGATCCGAGAGACAAAGTTGGGACATTTTTTTCGTTGTTCACGTGATATTCGACTTAATATTTTCGAAAAATTATACTTTGAAAGTATATATAAAAACCTTAATTTTTTCCAATCGTCACTGTGTTATTCCACATTAAGTCTGAAGCTTTAAAATTCAACCCTCTAAAACCCTTAAGTGTTAAATAATGGAATTAACACTCAATCTATAATATTATACTTTATATAGTTTTTAAAGAATACAGCCATGACTGCAAAGACATGAGAGATTGATACCAAGAAAGGGAAATGAAAAATGAAACAAAATAACCATTGAATAGTAGACGCAATGAAACATTGCTAAAAATTTGTCTGTAACGTTCAAAATATAGTATTATCGTCTGAAAACATACTCTTACGCCGTGGCAGTCATAGATGATCGGCAGCAGGATTAATGTACTACGCATGATAAGTTTGCACAATACATATAATCGTATTGTGTAATATATTATTACATGATTCTAATGAGCAATCACTCTTTGGCGCTGTAGACAAAACCAGCAGAAACACGCTCTGCAGTGAACGTGTTAGCCTCGAGCTTCGAGACCCGAGCCTTGCGATGCACAAGAGAGACATTCGATTTCGTAGGAACCAACATGAGCCTCGACAATTGCACAAATGCACTCTTCACGGGTATAGAACTCACGGGTAGACTTCTCTGCAGGGTGGTCTGGTCCGTATAAACACCAATAAACACATTCTAAATGAAAGAATTAGAATTTTAGAAAGTGTGCGATTGTGACAGACGCCGATGTAAACACACAAAATGGCTGCACAAGTCACATTTTGTCAAATATCTCACGATTTAATGGTTTTCTCGTCAAAAGCAGACCAGACCACTCTGTACACCACTATCATACTATCGTGGAAATTCGATTTGAATCACTTTATCACTTCTGGAAGTCCCATTTTGGTTCCTACGATTTGACGCGTCCACAACTCAGAAATAAACAGTGGCATAGTTCAAGGATTCTCCGCTAGAGGCATTTATGGTATTTGTCAGTCACTTTGGCCTGCGTTACCACGAGCATGGATAAAACAGAGGGAGTCGGTAAATGTAACCTCGCAACACGTGGTGGATCGTATCGATTGTTTCGTTACGCTGTTGCCACATGACAATTCTGCCCGTCAGGAGAACGATGGAACACCTACGGCCTACGGCTCGTGGCGAGAT